CTTCAGTTGCTTTCAGGAATGAGGCATCTTGCAGACTGTTCTCTAGTTTGCTGCTGGCATAGAAATGAAATCCACTAGAACAAACAGGACCCACTGAAGCACATCATATGGGAAAAGGAGGATATGAGGACAGGAGATGATGACTCTGATTCCTGGGGGCCCCAGGGTTACTCAAGAGTTCCTGAAATACAACTGTTCTGTAATTAGTTACAGGAGGCTAAAAGTTACCTTTTTATTTTTTTCAATGATGGATACAACATCCAAGAAGTTGACTCACTGGATACATAAGAAAATGCGACATAACAAGAACAAGCTAAATGCATGATCCTGGGTTATTTGTATCTTTAATAGCTAAGGTGAAAGAAAAGGAAAAGGCCAGGCTGGATCCTGACACAGAGCCCAGTTTGGGTTCTGTCCAGCCCAGGATAAAGCTGTTAGCCTCGGGCTGCTGCTACTAAAGGGAAGAGTTATGTTGAAACCACAGGGAGCACAAAACATTAAAGTGATTCACAAGAGAATGAAGAAGGATGAAGGGGAGAGTCAAAGTCCGACAGGGTGGAAATCTTTAAACAGTCCTTAAGAAATGGAATAAATAGGAACTTCCCTGGTGGTCCAATGGTTAAGAATCTGCCTGCCAGTTCAGGGGACACGGGTTCCATCCCTGGTCCAAGAAGATTCCACATGTCAGAGGGGCAACTCAGCCTGTGTGCTGTAACTACTGAAGCCCGTGGGCCTAGAGCCTGTGTTCCATGACAGAGAAGCCACTGCAATGAGAATCCCGAGTTGTGCAACTAAAGCAAGCCCACATGCAGCAACGAGGACCTAGCCCAGCCAAAAATTAATTGATTAATTTTAAAAAAGAGTTGGGATAAAGTGGACATTGATGGGGTCAAAACGAAGGTCTCAGTGCAGCACTCTGGGAGACTGGGTAGACCAGTGGAAACCCTGGATCATCTCCCAGCACTGAAGGACCTCAGTCAAGTCTGCTCTATCTACCCTAGTTTGGGGGAATTTAAAAAGCCACAAGACAGATAAGACAATGAGGAATCTGACTGCAAATCACCTCATGGAGATGGTCCCATAACCTAATCAAGATAAAGGTTGATTAAAGGGCCTGGGTTCCTTGGCCCCACTTCCAGTGGGGCACTCAAAGCCATATGCACATTAGCAGTAAAAGGGAGAAGACATGTTTCTGAGACTCCTTAACACGGGAGCATCACACTCTGTGATTCTAAAACTTGTTGTTTAGTCACTCAATCATGTCTGACTCTTTGTGACCCCCATGAACTGCAGCATGCCAGGCTCCCCTATCTTTCACAATCTCTCAGAGTTTGCTTAGATTCATGACCATTGAGTCAATAATGCTATCTAACCATCTCATCCTCTGTCGTCCCCTTTCTCCTTTTGCCTTCAGTCTTTCCCAGCATCAGGGTCTTTTCCAAAGAGTCAGCTCTTTGCATCAGGTGGCCAAAGTATTGGAGCTTCAGCTTCAGTATTAGTCCTTCCAATGAATATTCAGGGTTGATTTCCTTTGGCCTTGACTAGTTTGATCTCCAAGGGACTCTCAAGAGTCCTCTCCAGCACCACAATTTGAAAGCATCAGTTCTTTGGTGCTCTGCCTTCTTTATGGTCCAACTCTCCCATATGTACATGACTACTGGAAAAACCATAGCTTTGACTATACAGACTTTTGTCAGCAAAGTGATGTCTCTGCCTTTTTAATACGCTGTCTAGGTTTGTCATAACTTTCCTTCCAAGGGGCAAGCATCTTTTAATTTCATGACTGCAGTCACCATCTGCAATGATTTTGGAGCCCAAGAAAATAAAATCTGTCACTGCTTCCACTTTTTCTCATCCTATTTGCCATGAAATGATGGGACTGGATGCTAGTCAGTCCTAATAGGAGTTATAGTTGAATGGGGAAGCTATGGAAATTCAAGAATTGATGGGATTACTGTGGGAGTTTAGATGAAGATTGGAATGTTTAAACAGATTTCATGGAAAGTCATTGGATCTCTTCCTTTACCTCAGTGTATTAATAAATAGATACTCTGTATGACCAGGGAACATTTCCCCTTCCTAGTATTATTAAACAGGAGACTTATAAATCCTCCCTTCAACCAAAATTGATTGGACATAATAAATGGGAACCAATAAAACTGCCCAAACCCACACAGGGTTTGTTAATTTGAAAAGTACAGGATATCTGGTGGAAAAAAGAAATTAGAAGCCCAGTGTCTGATTGGCCTATTTGGATTTTGGAGGACACACACATATTCTACATCAGGGATTGTTGCTAGCCCCTGTCTATGAAATTACTGGAAAGAAGTCTCGTAATCCTTATGCGGGCCAGAGTTTATGGCAAAAGCCAATGAGCTCCACAGTGGCGGCTGCTGGAATATTTTACCAGAAATCAGTTGAGACCAACCCAATGTCTGAGGACATAAAATAATCCTGGAACCTGAAATACCCATGATGTCTTTGGTGATGCTTGATTAAAATGCTAATGAGGAAGGCCATGCCCAGACGTATTTCTTCATTCTGCCTCTTTCCCAGGAATTATTGCAGAATTATTGCAGAAATGGCCCAGAGAGGAAGAGGAGTTGTCTGTGTTTCCCCAATGAATCAGTGTCATAGCTGACATAATCGGCACTCAAACCCAGGGCTCCTGCTCTGAAGTCGGTGCTTTTCAAAAAAAAACAAGTGTGTGTGGGAGCAATAGTTTCAAGGAAGGTGAGATTGATGTGGACATTGTATCAGTGACTATCAAACAAGTTCATTTCTAAGCTCTGCAGAGGGCACAAAGGTCTATTTGATATAGGATTGTCAAGGTTGATATAGGCTGTCAAGAGGGAGCTGGGTGGGGGAGGGATGGATTGAGAGTACAGAATGGATAAACAACAAGGTTCTATATTCAATATCTTGTGATAAAACATAATGGAAAAGAATATACATATATATATATATATATATATATATACACACACACAGATATATAGGGATTCTCTCATAGCTCAGATGGTAACAAAATCTGCCTGCAATGCAGGAGACCTGGGTTCAATTCCTGGGTCAGGACGATCCCCTGGAGAAGGAAATGGCAACCCATTCCGGTATTCTTGCCTGTCACAAGAGTCGGACACGACTTAGCAACTAAACCACCACCATATATATATATATATATATATGTATATATATATCATGTCCTTTGCTAAGTCGTGTCCAACTCTTGCGACCCCATGGACTGCAGCCTGCCAGGGTCCTCTGTCCATGGGATTCTCCAGGCAAGAATACTGGAGTGGGTTGCCATTTCCTTCTCCAGATATAAAACTGAATCTCTTTGCTGTATAGCAGAAATGAACATTAAATCAGCTATACATCAATTAAAAAAAAAAAAGATGTGCAGAGCTAGGCTGTTTAGGGTTGGCATAGCAGCTCTACAAGGCTGTCAGGGAGCTAGGCTTCTTGAATTGTTCTGCTAAAGCATCCTTAAATGAACATCACCATGAGTGGCTTTCTTCCTCATGGTTACCTCATGGTTGCCAAACTGCTGCTCCACCTTCAGTATCACATCCATATTCTAGGAGGAAGAAGAAGGAAGTGACAGGAAGGAAGAAAAGACAGTAGGAGGAAAGCAAAAACTTTCCCAAGAATCCCCACCTCACTTCCACTAAAACAATGTCACACTGTCCCCTCTTAACTGCAAAGGAGGCCAGTAGTGCTTTAGCTGGCAATATTGCACCCCTAAACAGGTTGAATTTGTGAGTAATGAAAATAAGGGTAAGTTACTATCTGGCATCTACACAAAAACAAATCACTCTGTCATGAGGAAAAAAATCACTTCTCCAGAAAAGAACAAATAAAATCACTCGATAGGGGCTTCCCTGGTGGTCCAGTGGTCAAGGCTCTGCCTCCCAGTGCAGGCAGCACAGTTTCCATCCCTGGTCAGGAAACTAAGATCCCACCTGCTGTGGAGCAACTACATGCCCTGTAGCCAGCGTGCTGCACCTAAGACACAATGCAGCCAAATAAAAAAATTTTTTTAATCACTTGATAATTCTGGGAGGGGAGAGATTACCCACTTCTGACTGGGTGGGGCAATCAGGAAAAGCTGTGTGGAAGAAGCAGTGTTGAACTCAGCTGTGAAATTGAAGAAGGATTTGAATGTGGACAGAGGAGAGCTACAGGAGGAAAAGCTGGGAAACAGAGGAGTCCCTGATGACGGGAGAGCTATGTTTAGGGTGAAATTTGGAAAGGGGAACATCAGGGAAAAGTTGAGAAAGACACGGGGACATAAGACAAGGGCGAAGCAAGCTTGTGGGGACCCTCAGTTACAACACAAGGAGGTTTGGAACTTTTCCCATCAGCAGTAGGAACCCCCATCCAGTTTTATTCCCCCCAAATGTTAAATTGGTCCCATTCTCTCCATCTCTTACAGCCTGTGCACCAGCTCCAGCCTGCCGTTCTTCCCCAGTCACCAGCTCTCTCCCCTGACCACAGGGCCTGCGGTTCCTCCCCCTCCAAGCCATTTTTCACCAGGGCCCCCGGGGGACATTCCGAACCCCCAGACCTGATCCCGTCTCCCTGCGGTACCCGGCTCCCTGTGCCACAACAGTGTATGTGGTACCCGTAAACTTTAGAGGAAGCCTGCAGACCTGGGACTACAGACCCTCCCAAGGGGGCTGTGGAGGGGAGTGACAGACCGGGGGGAAGGAGATGTGACTTCGGGGCATCACAGAGGATCACGGTGGTGCTGTCCTGTCTGCAGGCCCTCAGGCATCACATCCCACAGAACTCCTGCTTCTCAGAGGGGACGCGCCTTCAGGGTGACTGAAGAGGCCGAAGTCCCCGGCTGGCTAAGAGTTCTTTCTGTTCTCCCCACTCCACGGCCTCTTCCAGTTATTCATCACATCACCCCTTCTGAACCACACAGTTCGGGTTTCGGGGCCAGCCGTGGTCAAGGCCCCGGGCCTCTCCTGTGCCGAGAACAACTGCTGCTGCTCATGGCGCCGCCAGGGCTCCACCTGGGTGAGTGGGAAGAGATGTAGCGCTGGAGGGGTCTGAGGAAGCCAAGGCTCCAGAGCCAGGCTGGGTCGGGCCGTGGTGATGTGAAACAAGAGGACTTAAGGGTTTAGGGTGGGCTTCCCTGATGGTTCAGCGGTAAAGCATCTGCCTGCAATGCAGGAGACGCAGGGTCGTTCCCTAGGTCAGGAAGACCCCCGGAGGAGGAAATGGCAACCCACTCCAGTATTCTTGCCTAGAGAATCCTATGGACAGAGGAGCCTGGTGGGCTACAGTCCACAGGGTTGCAAAAAGTCGGACACAGCCAAGTAGGCATGCAAGGGTATAGGGCACCAAGGAACCAATGTGAATTAAGCATCTGAGGGCCAGATTCTGGCAGGAGTGGGGGGTTTGGGGAGGTGAGGGGGAGTCTGGGCCAGGGAGTAGAGTTGAGGGTGAGGGTGGGAGCTCATCAGGGGGATCTGAAGATATTTGAGCACAGGAGCCATCTGAATATTGCTAGCATGCTCCAAGTTCCAAAGTTAGTAAGTTTTTTTCAGCCTCTTTCGATAGCTCTCCATGGCCTGCTTCCCTGGATGGTAAAAATGAATAATGTGGAGGTCAGCAAGGGAAGTAGAGGAGAGGCCTGCAAATTCCTCATCCCCTCAAGTGACCCAAACAGAAAGCCCAAGATCAAGGGCAACTGTTCGGGGGGAAATGACCCCTTTCCTCCAGTAACCTCAAACAACTCCAATGACTAAGTACATGGAAATGCTAAGGACCAATTCCTCATTATTGGAGACCTTGAAGAGCACGATTATCCCTTATTAACCCACGATCCTACCGGATAGACCACGTGTCTGACCTGCTCTAGGGAGAGTGAGGCGGTTTCATGGTGTTCTTACTCAGAAACCTGCATAGCAGTCTTTGCTTAAGATGAATGCTCAGTCCACGGCCACCAGGATGGGGAAGATAAAAATCTAGAGACGGGTTCTGTCGCCTCAGTGAGTGGTGCTTGGCCATGCGCTAAGACAGGAACACAACAAATCTCAGGCATTCACTGTGTGCCTCTCCAGCAATGACAGTGAGACGGGCTCAGGGAGTCTCTCTGTTTTCCAGACTAGGAAAGAGCAGAGAGGGAGCGACTTGCCAGGAGCATCCAGACAGTGATGGAGGGAAAAATCTGACCACAGGTGGAGCTGGAAGGGCCAGAGCTGGGGGCGCAAGGAAGAGAGGAGCTGAGGGTGGGAAGTCTAGCCTGGGTGGGGGTGGATGAAGGATCGCAGGCAATGCAGAGCCTCAGGAGACTCCTCTACCATCGGTCTGGAAAGGTGAGTACTCTGGTTCAGGCCAGATGAGAAGAAAGGGTGGAGGGCAACTGGTCTGTGAGGCCTGACTCCTCCGGATGTCCAAAAACTATTTCTTTTTTTAATATAACTTTGTTCACTTATTTATCTTTGACTTTCTCTAGGTGCAGTGAGCGGGCTTCTCACTGCAGTGGCTCCTTTCAGAGCACAGCGTCTAGGGTGCCTGGCCTTCAGTAGTTCTGGCTCATGGGCTCAGTCGCTGTGGTTCCCGGGCTCTAGAACACAGGCCCAGTAGCTGTGGTTTAGTTCCTCCATGGCATGTGGGATCTTTCAGGACCAGCAATTGAACCCGTGTCTCCTGCACTGGCAGGCAGATTCTTTACCACTGAGCCACTGGGGAAGCCCCAGAAAGTCTCTCTGAAGTTCCTGGTTTATCACAAATAAGGGAAAGGCTGGGTCCTGGAGGAGGCAGACAGGGAGTCAGGATGCTTGCTGACTCCTGACCCTCCCTCTGCCACAGCCCCCACCAGGCTGATTGATTCCTCCTGCTCCTTCAAGAAGACTCTGCGGTGCAGCTGTTCCTTCTGGGGGACCCCCACGCCCTCCGTGCAGTGGCGGGTGGGGGACGCTCCCGTGGTCATGAACCGCACAGGCCTTCGGGTGACTTCTGCCACGCTTGGCCCCTGGGCCAACAGCACCATCCATCTGACCGAGCCGCCTGAAACAGGCATGAGCCTGCTCTGTGAGGGCAGGAACCCAGAGGGAACCCACATCCTGACCATCCTGCTGAAGTCAGGTGATGGTGGAGGGGCCCCGTGAGGGTGGGGAAGAGGCTGGGGCCAGGGGAGGGAGCTGGGAGGTCCCTGGGGAGAACCCCATCTCACGAGCTCTCTACCTCCAGGAAGGAGTTCTTTGGTCGCCCAGACTTTCATGAAAGGGCTGGTTCGGGGTGTGTTCTACGGAGCCATCGGAGTTACACTGCTCTTCCTCTGCCTCATCCCACTCATGTGAGTACCGAGGTTAAGATTCACCGTAAGCTTAGTACAGCTTTAGGCAGCCTGTCTGTTGATGGGTGGGATGCGTTCCTGTCTTGCTCGTTGTTTGGCATGAGGTCAGGGTGGGACGGTTTGGGAGACTCGCACTGACATACGTACCGTACCGTGTGTAAAGTGTTTAGCTAATGGGAAGCTGCTGCATAGCACGGGGAGCTCAGCTCCGTGCTCTGTGGTGACCTGGAGGGGTGGGATAGGGCAGGAAGGAGGGGGGCTCAGGACGGAGGGGATATAGGCATACATACAGCTGATTCACGTTGCTGTAGAGCAGAAACTATCACAACATCATAAAGCAATTATCCTCCAATTAAAAACATTCACCATTCAGCCTCTCCCAAAGCCTGCTACCCCCAGGCCTGTGGCTCTGGATGGACCCCCCCCCCACCCTTGAGGAACTCAGGGTCTGGCAGCAAACAGGGGCCCCACGAGCCAGGGCCATCGGGACTATACAGAGCCACAAAACAGGCCCAAGGGACCGAGGCTTTCAAAGAACTTCAAGAAAGAGAAGGTGGAGGAGGAAGTGAAACCAGCGGAGTCCCCGGGGAGCTGTCTCAAGTGGCAGCAGGGCTGAGCACTTGCTCACTTGGTGGAAAGTCATGTGCAGAGACCCCAGGAGCACATCTGAGGGACTTCTGTTGTCTTTGTGCAATGTCAGGTGCATTGAGAGTGACAACTAACAGCTAAAAATGAGGTTGATAAAGGTTCTTGGGGTTGGTTCATAAAGACTCCCAAGACTTGGCTAAATGTGCTGGCTGGAAGCCTGGAGTGAGAAGGGCAGAGAGGCCAGAGGCTGGGCAGAGAGCTGGGCAGGGGAGCCTCTGGTCAGTCCAGACGTCTTGGACTTAATCCTTAGTAGAGGACCATGGAGGAGTCAGCTGGGAGGGAAGGTGTGAACTTGGTGGGGGGGCACAGTCCAGAGAGGGAGAGGCAAGAGTCTGGTGTCGCCATCTAAGCCAGGCCTGAGCTGGGCAAGTGATGAGGGGCAGAGAGACTTGGGAATAACTGTCCATCAGGGTGAGGAAGAAGAGGAGTGAGGTGGCAGGGTCAACTGGGTGGCTTTATTTTAGGGGGAGGGCATGCTGCATGGCATGTAGGATCTAGTGCCCTGACCAGGGATTGAACTGGTGACCCCTGCAGTGGGAGCGCTGAGTGTTAACCACTTGACCACCAGTGAAATCCCTGGGGGGTTATGTTTTAACTAAGTCAGCTGGACTTGAAGACCAATAAAAATCACTCAGAGTTTGCACAGCCCTTTCATAGCTGACCTCATCTGAGCCCCACAGCCTGACAAGCATGCCTCCCTGTTGTCCACAATAGGAAAGCAACCCCCAGAGAGGCTACATGGCTCACCCCCAGACAACCCAGGCTCTAAACTAGCACTTCCCAGCGAGATCAGAGCCCATATCGCGGGTGGAGAGCCAGAACTGATCAAGAGCGTCTTTTCCTTAGAGTGAAACATATCAGAATGAAGCAGGCAAAGAAAATTGCAGCAATGGAGGCAGAAAAGAGTCCACCAAGGACTCAAGAAGTCTCTAACGCCCAAGGAACCAGGAAAATCCAGAGTCACCCCGTCTCCTGAGCACTAGATATTGGTAGGTACCCCATGTGTCTGGAATCCAGCCTATCAGAGTAACAATCACAAGACCCATAAGGAGAGGCACATACAGTGTGTAAAGGCAGTATTAATACCATCCTCAATCTTATAGGACTTCTAGAATGCCAGAGCATGCTTACATATCATCTTATAGATGGTGACACTAAGACCCAGGGAGGGGAAGACAGATGAAAATTAAGAGGAGTAACTTGAAGGGTCATTAGAATCAGCAACTCATTCCCCCTGCACACACACATACATACACACACACACACACACACACACACACTGAGTCACCACTGAGAAGAGGATTGGGAGAACCCCTAACAGCAATTGTAGCATTGGAGTGGAAATCAAAGGGTTTGGTCTCTGAGCGCTTGGCAGGCTGCAGTCAGCACAGCCTGTAGGTGCCACAGGCCCAGGTCAGCCTTGAAGACCAGGCCACGCCCAGGTTACCCCTTTGTTCCCCTTGTACCCCCTATCCTCAGCAGGGCTTAGAGGGGTCAGCACCCGAGTAGCCGGTCTCACTGTTCTTTAGTCATTACGATTCTCTAGGGCCAGAAGTGCCCTGCTGCTCTCCTTACTCCCTGCACTGGGAGCTGGTGTCCCTTTGTGGGTAAACCAGACATCTGTTAAATTCCACCAGTATTTCCTGCAGTATCTCCTGTTCTCCATGCTGGGGTCTCAGAAATGGACCGGGCCCAGGCCCTGCCCTCAGAGCAGCCAGGCTTGTGGGGAAGGCAGCATCACAGTAACAAGGCTGGGCTGGGGTGATGGTTGCCCAGAGGGGTGAGAGACTGAACTTCCCTGGAGAAGTCAGGCAGAACTTCCCAGGGGAGTCTGGGAACAGCTGGGTGACTCCTGGTGCTGAGAATACACAGGGTGGCAGGCTCCAACCATGGGGATTTTGATGAAAGGTGAAGCCAATCCCTGCTCCACACTGCCTTTAAATTCAGTGCTCAAAGAAAGGGACAGAATTCTGTCCTTTTCAGATTTGGGTACCTCACCTCTAGACCTGTTCCAACATCCTTCTTTCTTTGCCCTGCCCTGCAGGACCCATCACCCCAAACTTCCAGGAAGAGCAGGATAAACTGAAGCTGACAAAGCCTGTGAAAACAACATTCATACCTGAAGTCCCCATCACCCTTGGAGTCACCAAAGTCCATAGAATCCTTAGAGACCCCAGGAACCCTGGAGTCTGCAACAAACTCGGAGCCCCCAGAGCATCCTCAGCCCACGAAGCCCTCTCCAGTCCCACCTGCCCCCTCACTGGTTATCCATTGAATAGGGTTACCCAGGACCTGGTCTTTGAACCCCTGAAAGCAAACTCTGTGATATGTTGTTTGGATTAGCCAGAAGACAGGTGCTCCATCCTGGGAGCTCCTTCAAAAGAAGGAGAAATAAAGGTGAGATTGTGAAATATGTCCACCAAGAGATAGTTTTTGAGCCCGTATTATGCACCTAGTCCCTGAAATATATACACAAGAGCCATCACACACAGATTGAATCCTTGCTTGAATGCTTAGTGGTTATGTCTTTGGATAAGATCTTTTGCCAACCCCACCCCCTTCTCTTTGAACTTGAGTATCCTTACTTGAGGTGTACCTGGGTAGAAAGTGAGTGAAAAGAGATATTGAGAGATGTAGGAAGAGAAATGACATAAAAGCCCTGAATGCCATCACAAGACATTGGGACCTTATCTGTGGGACCTTGTCCCAACTCCCTTAAATGTAAGTTCCATGAAAACAGGGATCTTGTCTGTCTTGCTTTCTACTTGTATCACCAGCACCAGAATTGTTCCTAAAATAGACTTTAAAACATGTTTGTTGAATAACTGAGTGAATGAATAAACTGTTAGAAGGTTTGAAACAAAGAAATAGAGTGACTAGATACATAGTGAAAGACGACCCCAGGAGTAGTTATTGGGGTGTACTTTTTTAAGCTTAATTAATTATTTTTGGCTGCACTGGGTCTTCATTGCTGCTTGAAGGCTTGTTCTAGTTGCAGTTAGTGGGGCTTCTCTTGTTGTGGAGTACAGGCTCTGGAGCACAGGTTCAGTACTTGTAGTATGTGGGCTTAGTTGCTCCGAGGCATGTGGAATCTTCCGGACCAGTGCTTGAACCCATGTCCCCCGCACTGACAGGCAGAGTCTTAACCACTAGACCACCAGGGAATGTACACCTGAGGTGTATGTAGAAGAGGTTAAGACTGGAGGCAAAGAGCCCAATTAAATGGAGGTTATTGCAATATTTCTTGACCACAAAGGAACACAATGAATGAGAATAGGATTCTGGCATGAGAATGGACCCCAGCTGTGTGTTCCCTTCCGAATGAATGACAACTTTCTTTTTTGGAGCCAGATGCTGGTAATTTTTCAGAGGATAGGAAAAGTGCCATCTCTTTACTGGGGCATTGTTTGTAAGTCTGAGGGTTCTCCCATCTGTCATCACCAGTGAGATGGTCATCTTGTGCTCAAGGCAGATTTGACATAAGCCACCCATGTATGCATGCAGTTCACACATCCCACAGAAATACAGGCACCTACCACGTGCCGTACAATGAGGCAAAGAAACCAGACACTGGACCTCACGGTCTGCATAAAATTCTAGCTCAAAATGTTGACAATTGCCTGATGTCAAGCTGTTCTGGTGAAAAACTTACTTGAGCATTTCATTTACAAAAGAAGGATTGGACACACTGGCATATATAAGAAGCTATGTTTCAGGTTGAGGTCCCTTAAGCAGCATTCCAGAGGTTGTAAGAAAGAACAACTTTACACTTCTCCAGAAACTCCTGTGACTGGATGGACTGAGATGTCCTCTGGGCCATCTTGGTGTTTACCAGAGTATGCTGCACTGTATCTATCAGAAAGTCAGCTTGTCCCCACTGTCACAGTTACCTGGGGCTCCTGGGACATCATCAGAGTCTTCTCTCTATCACACGAGAGGTTCCTGTCTGTCTTTCATTGTTTTCCTCTCTTCCGGTTACTCTGTCTCTGGGAATCCACTGCTGCAGCCAGGTAAGTGGCTTTCAGTCTTGCATCCTCTTGCTTCTTTCTCATTGTTCCCTGTTGTTTAACACTTTAAAAGCAACATCTAGTTACGAAGAGTTTATTCCAAATGCACCATTTAACTTTTGTGATTTGTTTCTTATATCTGGGGTGCTTGGCCTAATTAAGGTCTTGTTTACCATTCTCATATTTCAGGGGCCTCAGGGCCTGTATCAGTGTGGTTTCTCTTTCTAGAAATTCTGATGAATCATCATTGGGTTTTTGGTGTATATGCTAAGTTTTATCTAAGCTCTTTTGGCTGGGTACTCCTTTTGAAAGACCTGCTAAGATACACTTCCTATAATGCTCTAG